AAAAAAAAACATAGCCAAAACAGAAATCATCCACATCTACGTGGTGTTGTCCTTGTTTGCACTATAGCAAGACAGTTGTATACTGCAAGGATACAGATGCTTCGAAATCAAATCTCCGGCATTATTGGCTCATTTCCTCAAAAGCTCACAGCTTGCAAAGCACCTTTACAACCCACTACACACGCGGTTTCTGGAATTTAGCTCAGCCCCCCATATATATTTTTTTATTTATCAACGGCCCACAAATATTATTTTCTCTAATTTTCATAACTACTAGTCATTTAATTACTGATCAAGTAAATGTTGAAAAAACTCGTAAATTCGAATTCCGTTAATAAAAATTAAATAATATAAAATGAAAAAGATTTCATTCCCCAAACTATACATGACAATAACGCTAATATTACAAGCACATCCATCCACAATTCAACCAAACAACAAAACATAAAAAGAAAAAGAGAATGGCAAATTTGGTATTTTAACATTACAATATGACACATCAATTATTTTGTCTAACCATTATTAAAATCTCATCAAGTATATAACACACAATAACCACATAAATAATATAAACTTTTTTTCTTTTTTTTTAATAATAACAAAAAAAGGGAAGGTAAAAATTAAACAAATAAAAGAAAATAAAAACAAATTAGTGCCTGCAGCGAGTTATGGCGCTACAGCCGCGAGAGTAGGGATTTGCCTGAGCTCCAGGTCGGCAGTTGTAGTAGGACGCGCCACGTCGCGAGCAGGGGACAGTGTTCCTCCTCAGCGCACCGTAGCTGATGTACCGGTTCGTGGCTAAGATGCGCCGGCTGATCTCGGACTCCATCGGCAGCTCCAGATCCTCGTCCTCAGCTATCAGCCCTCCCGCTGATCTCGTGGAGACCCAGCTCAGCTGGCCCAGCTGGTGGCCTCCACTGAAATCGACGGCTGCAGATGAAGCATGTACTAAATGAGCGGCCAAGATTGCGCAGACGAAGATGAAGGCAAAGAGTGGCGGTGTTCTTGAGCTTGAGCTTCCCATTTTTGGGGGTTTCCAATCTGAATTTTGTTTTTGAGAGGAGGAGGTTTGTGGGTGTGGGTTTGGGATTATAAGTGACCATTGGTTTGGAAATGCCACTGGTTTGGGGAAGTATTTACGGGAACATGCCACTTGACCTTCACATGACTGATTTTGCTTCAAATTTAAGAATGTCAATGACTTTATGGACATCCACTAATCACGCTCTTTGACTTCATTTTGTAAATTTAAATTGAATTTGGGACTTTTGTCGTGATTTATTAAAATAAAAAATAAAAAGTTAAATACAAAAAACCACAAACAAGAGCATCGCAATCGTGATGGGATTCAAACAATAAAAGCCAGTTAGTGGCCAACCAATGTGACAATGAAGGAATGAGAAGGTGGCAGTTGATAATGCCATTTGGTAAGAGATAAAAGCTCCATCTTTCATCTTCAATATGAAGTAACTTAATGCTTTTGATTTGGTTTAGTGGGAGTAGTCTCCACTTGATTGGATATACTCTCAAGTTAAACTCACGTGGTTGCGAAGATAATATGCATATTTATGTGAATTTGATATCTAATTGTGGCTAGTCTCATTAAGATA